ATGAAAATTAACTTTTAGTTCACAAGAAAAATATAAAATCTGTGCTTTCTAAGGCAACCCTAGCATGCAGGATGCTTCTCCTAATACTTCAATAGAGAGCTATATTCTTGAGGATTAAAGATTATTTCTCAGAATGACCCCCCAAAGGAATGTGGGGATACAGGTTTTACAGCCATCAGGAAGTTGGCTCTCTCTGTACATTGTTTAACAGCCAAAAAGGATGCCAGGCTTCAGAAAAGGCGGCCAAAACAGATTCCTTTTATGTTGTGATAACATTTTGTTCAAGAGCCTGCCCTCTTCTTTACAGGCAATGCCTCAGAATCTACTCCTAGTGGATGGGGAGAGATAAGGGCTTCCATGGAATAAACCAGCTCCTGGTTCTGTGTGTTTCACCCTAGCAAAGTACAACCACTCACCAAGAGTTCTGGAAGCCATACGATCAAATGGTGTAGAGAACTTTCATCTTTTGGCAGCCTCTATTCCTGAACCTCTCTGAGATGAAAGTTTAAGCTGAGGTCCCGTTCTTCGAGTCACAACACCCCTCCTGTTGCCAAGAGTTTTGCTACTCTGGATTATTCTATCTTCCTAAAGTACATTTTCTTCATAAGTCTCATCAACAACAACCTCTCCAAAAACTTAAAATAGATTTTAAACTTTGTGAGGCTTTCCTGTGTGACTGAAGTTCAAAGTGTTTGTTCCTATATAGGAACAAATCCCGCTTAATCATTTTTATTGTTCTTGGCCACAGTTCTTGGATTAAGACACTTTATAACAGGAAGAGACACAGTGGCACATATACTAAACGAACATAACCTTTTGTTGTAAACACCAAGAAGCAAAGATTAAAAGCCCAGATCCTTCAAATACAGTCTACATAAACAGCAATAAATTAATGTTTTCCACAAATATGACATTTCTATCATGTGAGAAAATGTAGAAGACACTGAAGTGTTTCTAACTGCATTTCACAGTGAAGATTTTTTTTTCCCGTGTGCTAATTAAACCCATCTCTAGTCTAGCACAGGAATTGGGTAGCTGGAACCAAGCAACCATTTGACATTTAAAGATAACATCACTAAGAGATCTGTCAGCCAAGAAGCTGGGTAAGGCAGTGACATATGACCACCATCACCATCACCACCACCACCATCTTTGTCGTCTTCATTAATACCATCACCATCAAATATTTACGGCTGTTTACTCTGCTGGAATATGCAATAGATCTCGGAGGGTATAATCAACTTTGAATGCTTCCCATAAATTCTAAGCAGCTTCATATGGCATCTCTCCTGTTTTGCAAATATCCAATTAGTAATTTCTAAATGTGACATTAAAAAAGAGAAAAATATTTAAAATACCGTAAGACCATGTTTAATTTTAACCATAAAAACATAAAATCTGTGAAATTTGAAAAGCAGCTTCTTTGTACTACTTCAACAACTCTTTCTCCCTAATTAATAAAAATAAGAGGAAAATCCTAAGTACTACAAAAAAGAAAGTATTTTCAGGTATTTATTTATAAAATCTGATGAACTTGCCTATTTGTTGAAGTCATTTCAAAACAAGCTATATTTGACATAGTTTACCTTAAGTATGTGCTCAAAAGTAATTGATATTTCTTTAATTTTCTGAAATTTATACAGACTCCCCTAATACTTTTAAATTAGTGACAATGTCATGATTTGATTATATACTTCAGCCAAGAATACAAGTTTTTTTCTTTGGCATAATATCCCATTTATAACTATCACAGAAAAAAAACTGGATTAAAGGCAATTCAGTAGTTCTACAAGGCAGCAGGTTTGCAGCATCTTGGGTCCCTTGTTTCCTCTTCAGGGAAATGGATTGGCAGCCTCCCCTCCAAAGGCCAGAAGTCAACAGAAGTCCACCATGCCTCTTCACCACACCCAAGAAGGAGTATGTTTTATTTTGTTGACTTAATTTTCATGAGGGGTAGAAAAGACAAGAAAAGGCCACATTGGCCAACTCTGGCTGTTGTGGACGGAGCATATGTCATGATCACACACAAGCACAATATTCTAAATTCCTCCCGGTTACCAGCTTGGGGTGGCTGGGAGTAGGGTGGCAGTTTGAGGACAAGAAGAACTCACATACACATACACATACAACACTACAATCATGCGGGTGATATTACTCATCATCTTAGAAGACTTACAGTTTAATTAGATGCCACTAGGATTCTCCAAATATTATTACATATTTGCAAATAAACAGACTTGACGGTCACCTACTATTTCACAAGCTGCAAACAAATCTTTTAGGCAAATGTAACATTCTACCTCAAATCACTCCCAAACTGAGAAATAGCTCAATTTCAAAAGGTCCAACTCCTAGAAGATATGTTTCAACCAAACCCAGTCATCAAACAGGAGATGAAGTTCTTGTAATTGAATAAACAAGATGATCATCTCCTGGTCACTTTAAAGTTTGCCCTATGTTACTACTTTATGTTACGCATTTATATTCATGAAGTAATAAACCTGATAGAAGGTATCAAAAATAATTACACATGTATATATAGTACCTGGTTTTCAAAGAGTTTAAGGATGTCCACACACTTTTCACATACCTTGATATAACACCTCTGAAAGGTAACGGACATACTTTTTCTTAATTTCTCCATGTCGTTATCAATTCTTTCAAAGAGTCACAATTCAGCACTAACGAATAGGTCTTAAACATGGCAATATTCGAGCAGGAGATGTGAGCAAAGAAAAACAAAACCGAATGAAAACGACATGTATAAATGGGAGAAAGGATAGAGGGAAACCAAAGGAAACAATTACAGACAGAAAACAAAGGTTAAAGAGCTGGGAGTTTAACAGTCCCTTTATTTCTTTCTCCCTTCCATTACCTGAGAATTCATCACAAAATTCTGTTTACAACATACCACATGGATCCTCTTCAGCATCGTCAGTCTCAACGACCCCTCTCTGTTCTTGCCTTACAGAATCCCGAGATCCATACTCCAATATATTCTTTCTACCATCTGAAGATAGCAGTATTACTCTACTCTCAACTAGGCTCAACATGAAAATCACCATACCAAAACCAATTTTACTAATGCTTTTAAAACATAATATAAATTTTAAGATTAGATTATCTGGTGTTTGTAGAATTTTATAGTTTATATCATCCCAGAAGAGATATGTCCCCTATACCCAAAAGTTTCTCAGTGCCTATGGACTTAATATAACAATAGTGAAATCTATTTACCTGTTGCATGCAGGACTACTAGAGGTGAAAATGTCACAGCAGGACAGGAGCAAGTAAGCAAAGTAAACAGACCAACTGCATTTGTTCTTGGGATACTTCTGCTATGCGAGCTGGGATTAGAGGACAGATGTCTTAGAGAGATGGTGAACCAAAATCTACAGATACTGCTGTGCTGGCTCCATCAGGCAATTCCAAGGTAATTAACATTCTGCTGTAGCAGAAACAGCTTGGCCTGTTCTTATCCAAGAAAACTCAAAACAATGGTCAGACGAACCAGAAGGCTGGAGAAGTGAAAGTTAGATATATGAGCCTTTAGTTTATGCTAATAGCAACCTACATCTCATTTCCCAAAAAGAAGTTAAGGCCACTTGCAAACATGACTAGGATTTTTTTCCACTCCCAAGGAAGATATGCACTCCTAATGAAAGGCAATGGAAACCCATTTTTGACTGCAAAGAAAGCAGAAGAAGACCTGTAACTATTGGTGGCCAACTAAAAAGAACTAAGAAATAAGTGACACTAGTATCTATCGTAAGTTAACGCTCTACCTAGTTCACTGCGAATTTTACTTTCAAGTTTGGTTTATTTGTTGCACAGCAAAAGGCTTGCTGATCAGGTGTTACCCTTTGCACACGGATATAACGCAACTGACACGAGTGAAGGCTGTGCCCAGGCTTGAACTGTGGAACCTTGCTCTTAGAGTAGACAGAGATTTGATAAAGCAGCTCCCCTCTCTCTCCTGTCATCCCAGATGTGAGTAAAGGATTTCGAAGACAAAGAGCCAAAGTCCAGCCAGCCCAGCTGAGAGTCACAGCAGCAAAGCCTAAAACCCCGGGCCTTAAAATAGCTGAGTTCTTATCCTCAGGACTACTCAGGAGCACTGATATGTCACACTGCGCTGTGCATAATCATAGTCAATACAGACCACGGACCCATCCTCAGCGAACACTGACCTAATTTAAAGGGCTATAAAGACAGCAAACTTCGTATGTTGCTGGAGTTGCTCAGGGCTCCTCCTGACTTTCTCAGGTGGCCTAGAGTACACAGGCTCAGTCAGTGCTAGGTAGCAAATCCCATGGCACCAACAACTCCCAAAGACCAGCAAGGCCCCGATTTGTCCCAACCCCAAGTTCTTTTTCACTTCCTTTAGGTTTCCTCCTCCAAAATCTCCAAAAAATCCAATACCTGAAGACAAAATACCAGCAAGCTTCCAAGCACCAAATGGACAAAAAGTATAAATGATGCCATATAAATTATCTTGAAAAATCCAAAAACATCTTGTCATACTGACATTCAGAGAAGTCTAGCACCAAAAACAATATTAACCACACTAAAAATGTATTTTAAAAGAGATTTCGTTTTTGTTTTTTTTTTTGAGGAAGATTAGCCCGGAGCTAACATCTGCTGCCAATCCTTCTCTTTTTGCTGAAGAAGATTGGCCCTGAACTAACATCTGCGCCCATCTTCCTTTACTTTATACGTGGGACGCCTGCCACAGCATGGTTTGATAAGTGGTGCACAGGTCCATGCCCAGGATCCGAACCGGCAAACCCCAGGCCGCAAAGCAGAGCATGCAAACTTAACCACTGTGCCACCGGGCCTGCCTCTATAAAAGACAATTCTTAAATGATCTTCGTGTGATTTACTTCAAAGGGTGATCAGGAATTGCAAAAAGGAAAAAGAAAACTGATAGAAACTAAAGCATAATCATTCCGCGATTTTTTAACTGAATGTGATTACAATCTTTATAATAGTCAACCTACCTCAAGTTTAAGTAAGTCAGCATCTGCAGATTAATGATGGCCTCAGGAATGACTCTGATACAATTATGATACAGATTAAGAATTTCCAGTGATACAAAATGGCACAATTCCATTGGAACTTCAAGCAGTCTGTTTTTAGATAAATCTACAAGAGAAGGAAAGAATATTTTGTCAATAAATCTTCAACATAATCCAGTACAATCTTATCAACCATCAATACTTTTTTCTTAACATGTTTTAAAATAAACATTATAATCTAAATTTAGCTCCACATTATCAGTTTTTGCACTGCTGTTACTACGGTGCTGTGATTTCCATTTTCTAGCATATTAGCTCAATTCATATGGAAAAGTAAAAATACTGCAGAAACAGTTTTAGCTCTCTCTGTAAATTTGTAAATACAGGCCACGTAAAAGGGTAACTGAATCAATATTTACTTTTCACTCTATCTGAGAATTATTTCAAAGTCATCCTCCCCTAGGCAAGTATGTAAATTGTATCCTTTAATATATCTGAATACGTATACTTAACATAACATTTAACTTATTTAATTCAATTTTGCATTCATAACGTGTATTATCTTTCAAACACATCTTTTATATCCTCTGCAAACAAACACATAGTAGATACTAAACAAATATTTCATTCACCGGAATTACTGAGTACCTATATGCATAAGACCGAGATAAACCAATTGTGTCTGTTAAGGACCGACCCCGTGTCTGTCTTGGCAAAGTGTATCCTAGACCGTAGTAATGGTCTACAGAGCAACGTAAACACACAGCACAGTTTACGATATCACCATCTCAACAATAATAAAAGAAGAATAGTCCTTAATGTCTAAATCTGGGAACAGCAGACATAATTGTAGAATACAATAAAACACTGAATTTAAGAAAAGAGCCACTACTCTCAAAAACAATAGCAGATCACCTCACTCTATTAGGAGGGACTCAATCGGTGTGAATCAAGGACGTTCAGTAAATAACATTTCACACAGTCTGAAGGAACCACACTCTAAAGAAAAAAAGATAGGAAGCTCACATAGGCAATACTCTAATGAAACAGAAGAGCTACTTTCCTGAGTGTCTTTCCAATAAATAAAGACATAAATAAATAAAAATAGGCATAGATGGCTTTAGAGGGGAATTCTAAGAAACTTTAAAGGGATAATTCTGATAATATTTAAACTATTCCAAACTATACAAAAAGAAAGAAAGTTTCCAAAGTCTTATTTAAACAGTACGCTCTTTTTTTTTTAAAAAAGATTTTATTTTTTCCTTTTTCTCCCCAAAGCCCCCCGGTACATAGTTGTGTATTCTTCGTTGTGGGTTCTTCTAGTTGTAGCATGTGGGACGCTGCCTCAGCGTGGTCTGATGAGCAGTGCCATGTCCGCGCCCAGGATTCGAACTAACGAAACACTGGGCCGTCTGCAGCGGAGCGCGCGAACTTAACCACTCGGCCACGGGGCCAGCCCCTTAAACAGTACGCTCTTGATACCATCACCCAACAAAGAAAGTACACAGAAGGGAAATTACGTACAAATCTCCCTTTCAAATATTGATGTAAACCCTAAATTTAAAAAACAGTAAACAAAATTGAGCAGTACGTAAAAAGATGAACATACTGTGACTAAGTGGGGTTTATTTTAGAACCAGAAGGATTTCATATTATTTAAACAATTCACCATATAAATAGAATAAAGGTGAAATAGCATATGATCATCTCTATAGATATTTAAAGATATTTGATAAAATACTGCGTTCAGACTTTTTTTAAGACAACTTTACTGAGTTATATCTTAAATATCATAGAATTGGCCTATTTCAAGTGTACAATTCAATGATCTCTAGAACTTTACTAAGTGATGCATTCATCACCATAAATCAGTTTAGAACATTTATAATCATTCTTAATGCAATTGCTTAATAAAAGGAGAATAGTTGGCTATTTCCTTCCATAATTTACACACACGTGCACGCACACACACACACACACGCATATGAGAGAGAGAGAATATTTTCATTTACTGATAAATCATGAATGATTAGAAACGTTACCATTAAAGTCAAGACAAGATATCACTACTACCTAGACTACTATTACTATTTCTTACTGTTCGGGACTACTAGCCAACGACGGGGGATGAGGAAAGGAAAGAAGGACCAACATTGGAAAGGAAAAGATAGAATTATCACTATTCACAGATATTCTGACTGGTTTCCTGGAAAACCCAAAAATATCAACAGAAAAACTATTACAAATGTAAAAAGGTACAGGGTAGAAAAGCAATATACTTAAACAACAGCCTTTACACACAAACTAGGAAAATTATACAACAGAAGAGACCAAATTGATGATAATAACAAAAGAGTAAAACACCTAGAAAATTTTAAGACACAGACAAAGTTTATATGAAGAAAATTTTACAGTGCTACTAAACAACACAAAAGAAAAGTTAAAACAGTTCAAAAGATATCCCATAATTTTAAATAGGAAGATAACATCAAAAAGGTGTCAGTTCTCTTTAAGTTATTCCTATTTAATTTAATGCACTCCCAATTAAAAAATTACTTCTAGGATTTTTTTTCCAATTTGCTGAGGTTATTATACAAGCTGATTCTAAGTTCACATGGTAAAATAACAATGCAAAAATAGCCAGCTATCTCTCCAAAAAGAGGAGCTATGAGAGAAATCAGCTCTCTTGGACATTAAAAACACATCATAAAGCAGCGTGGTAGATAGACGGGAAGGTCATGGAACAAATTTCAAAGATGGGAAACAGGTCAAAGACACATACATATGGAAATCACGTATGCAACAGAGGTGGCATTTCCAATCACGAGGGAAACGATGTAAGGTCAGGAAAGAGTCTGAGAGAACTGAATAGTCATCTGAAACAAACACACACAAAGAGGATGACTATCTACCGCACACCTTCTATCGCAATAAATTCTAGGTGAATCAAATAATTAGCTGTAAAAAGTGAAGCCGTGCCAGCACTAGGACAACACACGGGAAGGGTGTGTTTATGATCCTAGCATAGAGAAGGCCTGCCTCTGAGTGACACAAAGCAAGCTTGATACATTTGACACATAAAAACAAAACCTACTGCATTTTAGAACAAACAAAACCTCCACCAAAAAACATAAATGAGCATTAAGGCATGGGGGGCAGTGTGGGAAGGTGGACAATTCATAAACCCAATAGGCTAATTTTTTATACATAAAAAAAGCCCCTACAGTCAATAATAATAAGACAAAAAAAAAAGAAGCAGAAGAAAGAAAAACGATATGAACAGATGGCTCACAGAAAAGGAAATACAAATGGCTCTTCAGCATATGAAAAAAATGGTCAACGTCACTCAAATTAGAGCAATGCAAATTACAACTACATGGATAATATTTTTCACCTATTAGATTAGCAAATATCAAAAAGTTTGATAAACAGGTTGTAATGCTGAGCACATGGTGATATAACTGAAAGAGATTTTAGAAAAATCTATCAAAACTACAAATGTACAAACACTTCAACCTGGCAATCTTTCTCCTCTACAGATAAACTCATACATGTGCAAATGACATATTTTTTAGCATGATTTGAAATAGTGAAAAATAAAAAGCAATTTAAATATCAGTGGAGGTCAGGTTGTATATTAATTTGCCACTAACAAATGTCATAAATAATACTAAAATTAAATCAATCAATATTAACATAATATAAATGATATTTCATGCGATGGATGTAATAGTAAACATTATATTCCATAATGGAATGCTAACGTTATGCAGCCATTAAAATGAATGAAACAGCTTTATAATGTACTAGTATGGAACAATCTCCAAGATATATTATAAATTTTTTTTAAAAAGCCAAGTACAGAACAGTGTATATAGTATTTGTGGTTTTTAATGAATATTTACATAATTGTTTAAATATAAATAGATTATCTCTGGAAGGCTACACAAGAAACTGGTAAAAGTAGTTGTTTCTGGAGAGAGGATTTCTTGCTGGAGGACAGGAGTGGGAGGGAGATTCCTCCATTACAGACCCTTTTGTACCTTTAGGAAACTGAATGCATTGCTTATTTGATTTTATATATGTATATACATAAGCATATATAATATGTATTATTATAACATATATAGTAACCCATACATATACACACATTTTCAACAACCTCCCACCAGCATTCTTATTCTTTCGCTACACAAAGAAGTTCATTTCATTTGCAAAGAGCTAAGAAGCCTAAGCAAACTGTGAAGTCCCACATATTAAATTAAGGGAAATACAGAGGCGAGCTTCTTTTCAAGAATGGTTAGAACCTATACAGAAAAAAATTCCAGAAAACTCTTGCATTCTTTCTTCCTGAAACTCTTTATTAGACATGGCAAAATTCATGTGCTACAATGTTAGAAATTCGCACAGAAAACTTCTATGTACTGTTTCCTTCAGGTTCAACTCAAACAAAATTCCATGGAGGTTCCAGTTTACATTCAAAACTTTATCTTTCCTGAGAACTGCCAGAACTATATTACCAGGTTGAATGTTTCGATAAATGTTTTAAGTAATAATAATGTTTTCATTAGTTTCAGGGACCCCAATGCTTTTGAAACCAAAAAATATAGGGTTGTTTGTAGAAATACTGTTATATAACTACCAGCCTTTTAAAAGATAATGGACATCAAATTAATAATAAAAACCTCTCCAATCCGACAGCAGAAGACTCCAGTTCTAAAGCTACAACCATCTGAGATATTTGAGAAAGTTACTCAATTCTCTAGGTTTCTGTTTCTAAATAGGCAAAATTAGAGTATGTGCAACTGGATGAATTCTAAGATTCTTTCCAGATCTAAGATTTCTGTGAATAAGTAAACAGTATTCAGAAATCAACTATTTTCTGTCAAAAGTATTCAGAATCCAAGTGATTTTGTTTCATCATCATAACGAATAGCAGCACTTAAGTACCCCAAAAAGCTATAAAATACAAACCCACATGGAATAAATACTGACACACTCTTTTAATGAATTTGTCATTTCATTGTAGAACCTATATTCTATCACATAAGGTGAATTTTAAAAGTGCTCTGCTTTCAAAATTGGGGAAAATGTAATGGTAGGAGAAGAAATTATAAAATAGCTTAT